CTGACTCAAATCATCTTTCAAACAGAAGTTAGTCTGTGCATTATAATACATTGCAATCAGATGAGAACACATTACAGAAATCATCAGCATCTTGACCCTGAACACTGAAGCTCTTGTCAGCTGTTGAGTCCACTTTATGAATTAGCCAAGTTGAACTGTGGGAACTGCCTGACATTCATAGATTCCAAGGCCAGAAGGGACTATTGTGATCATCTAGTCTGACCCCGTGTCCTAGAACTTCCCCAAAATAATTCCTGGAGCAGATCTTTTAGACAAACATCCAATCTTGATTTTAAAATTGTTAGTGATGGTGAATCCACGATGAATCTTGATAAAATGTTCCAATAGTTACTTTCACCATTAAAAATTTATACCTTATTTCCAGCCTGAATGTGTCTAGCTTCAACTTCCTGTCGTTGGATCATGTTATACCTTTCTCTGCTAGATTGAAGAGCCCACTATTAAATATTTGTTCCTTATGTAAATACAGTACTTATAGACTGTAATCAAGTCACCCCTTAACCTTCTCTTTAAGCTAAATTGATTGAGCTCCTTGAGTCTATCACTATAAGGAATGTTTTCTAATCCTTTAATCATTTTTCACTTTTCTGTAGATTCTGACACATTTTTCCTATAAAATGTAATATAAGAAAAGAGAAATAAATTTCATCTAAAGAGGATGAATTTCAAAATTTAGGACCTATTGTTGAAACACTTTTATGCATGTGCATAACTTTACTTACATGAGCAGTATCTACTCACATGAGTGAAACTATGCACATGCTAGGCGTCTGCACAATCAGGCCCCTAACCAGTCCGTGTCATAACTATAAAGGGAAGGGTAACAGCTCTCTGTGTACAGAGACTCCAAATCCTTTTACCTGTAAAGGGTTAAGAGGCTCGGGTAACCTGGCTGACACCTGACCCGAAGGACCAATAAGGGGGCAAGATACTTTCAAATCTTGGGGGGGGGAAAGGCTTTTGTGTGTGCTCTTTGTTTTAAGGGGTGGTTTGCTCTTGGGACTGAGAGGGACCAGACATCAATCCAGGTTCTCCCCATCTTTCTAAACAAGTCTCTCCTATTTCAAACTTGTAAGTAAAAAGACAGGCAAGGCGTCTTAGATTTACTTTGTTTTCTCAACTTGTAAATGTACCTTTTTACCAGACTGTTTATCTTTGTTTTGCTGTACTTTGAACCTAAGACAGAGGGGGGTCCTCTGAGCTCTTTGTTTGATTACCCTGTAAAGCTATTTTCCATATTGATTTTACAGAGATGATTTTTACCTTTTTCTTTAATTAAAAGCCTTCTTTTTTAAGAACCAGATTGATTTCTCCTTGTTTTAAGATCCAAGGGGGTTTGGATCTGTATTCACCAGGAGTTGGTGAAAGGAGGGTGGGAGGAAGGAGGGGGGATGGTTAATTTCTCCTTGTTTTAAGATCCAAGGGGGTTTGGATCTGTGTTCACCAGGGAATTGGTGAAAGGTTTCTCAAGGCTTCCCAGGGAGGGAATTCTTGTGATGGTGGCAGCGGACCAAAGCTAAGCTGGTAGATAAGCTTAGAAGTTTTCATGCAGGCCCCTACATTTGTACCCTAAGGTTCAAAGTGGGGATACAGCCTTGACAGTCCGTTTAGGAGGTTCTGGGTGAAGTGGATTAAGTCCCTACAGTACTACTGACTGATCCTCGTAGACAGACAGCTGACCTCCAGATAGCTCCATGCTGGCGTACGTGTTCACCTAAGCAGTTTACGCATCCACAAGGATCTACCCACATGCAATGTGGGATCAGAGCCTCTAGCTCTGAAACACCATGATAACCACAGATTATCCAGGGTTGGTTCAGCCTTTCATCCTTCTGAGACAGTGTGACACAGAGGCCCATTGGTGTTCATTGCTTTGTGTCAAAAACTCTTGTCCGGCCTGACGCACTTACTACACCTAAGACACTGTGATCGTGATATATACCCAAAAGATGGGATGAAATATATCATTGAAAAACTAACAACTCATTGATCATTAATATTCTTGTGTGATGTATGTACAAGATGTGTACACAGAGTTATGGAGAGGTGCTAGAAATATGTTCTTAAAATGTATTTGGCAAGCAATGCATACGCCCAGTCTGCCTTAGACAATAGAACGTGTCTTTGCTTGGCTGACCCGCCTGGTTGTCAGGCAGAGGCAATGCAGGTGCATGTACATAAAAGGTAAACAAAGCCATGAAGTTAACAAGGGGAGGAGGTAACAACTCAGCTATCACCAGTGGGGCAGGCACCAGTATGAAGTCTTCACCAGACTGCATGGTATCCCCTCCCAGAAGGAGAAAAGGAACTTTCTCAAATAATAGATTTCAATGGTTTACTGGACTAAAAGATGGGGAGTCTGAACCTCAAATGATAAGTAATTGAATCAACTGATTGTACACAATATTACTGTATTAGAAGAGTGTATCAGATGAGGTCTTTTATGAAAGCTGACACACTGGTGATTAACACCATTGTAACATTAATGTATTAACACTATATGAGGATTTATGAATACTCACTGATATTATGCTTTAAAGTCTATGACCAAAGAAAGGGAGAAACATGTTTTCTCCCAGACAGGAGGGAAGGCAGCTATGTACCTGTCTCTAATGTAAAGTAGACATTATGGAATCAAAACATTGGAAGACCAATTTACATACAAATCAACAGGCAGATGGTGGGAAGCCCACAGGAAGGGAAGAACAGCATGATGACCCTGCTTCAAGAGGCAGGATGTCCATGAACACAGAGAGAGAAGGGGAAACATTTGGCATCTTTCACATAGGAAGACAGGAAAATCAGCACATTGAATTTTTGTGGAAGGTCCTGACTGAGAGAAAATCAGCCATGACTAGAAAGAGGAGGGATTGGTCAGAAATCTACCTTGAATGAAGACTGTAGTTTGCTAAATCTCAGCCCCTTGAAAGCGTATTTTACTTTTTATTTGCTTGTAACCATTTGTGTCTTTAAGTGAGTTCAAGTACAAGGGATAATCTCCTTTTTATTAATAAACTTGTTTTACTTTTAATCTAAACCAATCCAGTGCTGTGTTTGAATTGAAGTGATTGTTAACTCCAGTTACAGTAATAAACTGTGCTTTTGTCTCTTTAAGGGAGCAACAAACCTTATTACTTCTGAGCATTCCAGGAGATGACTGGATGCTTCCAGGCAGATGGTTTTGGGGAAATTCAGGACTGGGGGGTGTTGGGCTCACCCTGAAGGTAGTAACCCAGACTGGTGGAGACCAGATGGAGCTGTTGTGATGGAGGCAGGCTGCTGGGGTCTGAGAGTGGAACAAGGGCTGCATGGCACACAGACACTCAAGGAACTGCATGCTTGTCTACTGGATGTTGGTGTCCAGGCTGTGAGCCCCAGCAGCAGGGCAGTCCCTAGGGGGGTGCAGGGCCCAGGGTGGAAGTGATGAATTCGTCACTTCCAGGACTGACCCCTCACTTCCGGGACCGACCTTGCCAGGCCAATTGCACCAGCCCACGGGCCCCCCCCAAAGTGCAGGGCCCAGAGCAGTCGCCCCGATTCGCTGTACCCAAGTGACGGCTCTGCCCAGCAGCAGAGCATTTTAGGCACCCAGGGTTACAGGACTGGTGGTGACCCAACTCCCTACTGGTCTGAATTGAACCTCCAAATGTCACAGATACACTGAATACCGTGTATTTTACTCAGTGGCTCTTTCTGCTTGCCATAAAAAAATCATGTCCCCATCTGCTCTGTGTGAACACTAATGAACTCACGGTGCTGCTTGTAAGGACTGGTCTACACTAGAAAAGTTATCCTAATGTATCAGTTAAGGGTGTGAATTTTTAACCAATATAATCATACCAGTATAAGCCCTAAGTGTACACAGTTATACTAGTATATTGCGTCTTGAACTGGCATAAACTATATGGCTATAAACACTGATGCCAGTATAACTGCATCCATACTAGGAAAGTTCTGCCATTTTAATCACATCAGGATTAGATCCCTACTAGAGTCAAGGTCCCCAATCCTGCAAACATTTAAATGTGTTTAATTGTGCCCATGTGAGTAATCCCGTTGATTTCCATGGTACTGTTCATGTGAATAAATTACCCATGTGCTTAACATTTAAGATTTGGGCATTGATTTGCCCCAGTTCCTTGGCAAAAATTTGGAACCTCTCTGAAAAGCTTCGCCAGCTGAGAACATGGCTTCTTTTAACAGAGTATTGGCCTGGTCTATCCTACAAAGTTTTGTGAGCATAGCTATATCCACTAGGAATGAGGAAAATGTCACACTCACTAGCTACCCCCAGTGAAGACGCAACTACGCCAGCAGAAGAGCATTCTGTGGGTTTAGCTAATGTAGCTATGCCCACGGAAGAACTCCTTCTTCTGGCTTATGCTGTGTCTGCAATAGGTGGCTCTGCTGGCACTGCTGTACTGGCTAAAGCTCTGTAGTGTAGACATGGCCTTTCTTACAGTGTAAGGGTTTGATCCTGCAACTGCCTCCAGGTGGGTAGGTTTCATGGGCCCACACAAAGCCCATTGCAAATCAGTGGCACTCTAGATGACCGCAGCAGAGCGCGGCTGTAGGAGTAGGGTGGGCCGAATGGTTTTAGTCGACAAAGGAGGGCAAGTAGTTTGATTCTGTTATCGCTGTTTGGCCGGAGGCTGTTACCTGGTTTGGGGGAGTCTGCGGGGCTAGGGCTTTGTTTATATACACACTTTAAAAGCACTTAGGGGGGAGATTTCCAAAGGCACAAAGAGCAGTTGGGTGCCTCACTGCCCTGGGTGACTCTCTCTCTCCCCAAACGGCCCCAGTAATGCCAGGGAAGGGGCCGCAGGGAAAGCCCCCCTCCCCGCGCCAGCTGCCAGGCAGGGCAGGCTGGAAAGGGGCCGGCTGGCTGGGCTGGCTTGACACAGGAGGGCGGAGGCAGGTTTCCCCGGGGTAGCGGTGCAGAGGCTGGGCGAAGCAGAAGCAGCAGCCACCGGCCCAGCATGTCGTACTGCTGGGGAGCCGGCTCCTGCGGGCAGCTGGGGCTGGGCCAGGCGGCCGCCGGCGGGCCGGTGCGGTGCCGGCGGGGGCCAGAGGCCGGCGGGGGTTGGACGCTGCTGGAAGCGGCTTGCGGGGAGCGCCAGACGCTCCTGCTGTGGCCCGACGGCACCGTCTGCTCCTGCGGGGCCAACGCCCGGGGGCAGCTGGGCAGGAAGCTCCGCCCGGGGCAGCGGGGCGGCTACACGCCGGGTAAGAGGCTGGGAACTGCCGGGCTCCAGGCGCTGGAGCTGCGGGGCCCTGCGCCACCGGGGGCGGGGAGGACAGGGCCAGGTGCACGGGGCGATGCGGGGGCTGGGGCAGGCTGGGTGCAGCAAGGGATCTGTGCTGTGCTTTGTCCCGGCGCTGGGGCCGGAGCTCTCCCGGCGCTGGGGCAGGGCTGGGGGGTGAGGAGGGTTCCGCTGGGTGTGTGCAGCCGGCCGGGAAACCCGCCCCGGTAAGTTTCTATTTCTCCCTCCTGCCGATCCAGCTGCAGGTTTCGGATTCCGCCTGCAGGTCGCTGCTACTTTCGGTTTCGGTTTCCTGGTGGGGGCAATCAGCTGCTGAGAGGCGAAACCTAGCCGCAGGTGCTGCTCTGCCTTCTGCCTGGCTGTACTCACCACCAGTAACTCAGAGGGACTCGGAGTGCTTGTGGTACTAGAGACTAACACGGCTGCTACTCTAAAACCTGTCAGAGAGACTAGGATCAGGGGCTAGCCGTGTTAGTCTGTATCCACAAAAACAACAAAGGCACCAAGTGGGTTTTTTTTTTACCCACCAAAGCTTATGCCCAAATCAATCTGTTAGTCTTTAAGGTGCCACCTTGTTGTTTTTCAGAGAGATTAGTGAGAGCAGGTAGAGCAGGTGACAGCCCTCTCTGCACCTGCAAATCAATATCCGTGCCAGGGTGGATTTGATTTAAATCACTAGTCAGGAAGACTCAAATTAATCATGGTTTTCTACATAAAAGTGCATTCTTGTTGGTTGTTATAACCAGGGCTGGCTCCAGGCACCAGCTGAGCAAGCAGGTGCTTGGGGCGGCCAAGGGGAAGGGGCGGCACGTTGGGCTGTTCGGCGGCAATTCAGCGGAGGGTCCCTGTCCCTATCGGAGGGAAGGACCTGTCGCCGAAGACGAAAGCGGTGCAGTGGAGCTGCTGCCGATCACGGCTCTTTTTTTTTTTTTTTTTTTTTTTTTCTTTCTTCGCTGCTTGGGGCGGCAAAAACCCTGGAGCCGGCCCTGGTTATAACTTTAATACATATTCTTCACAACTCAGAGATAGATGTGGGTTTCATTTTTAGAAGGTACACACTATACATTTTTAAACTGATTTATTTTGAAAACTTTTCAGATGAGTTTTACAGCTATATCAGAAAATGAATGATTGGTTATTTCATTTACCAAAGGTAATTGAAGCAGATATTTATGAAGTCACTGGGAGGTGAACTATCTCCAATTCAACAGGTTAATCATTAATATTTCAAGGATTTTCTTGCCATGCTGTATTAGGTGGAGAACATCACCAGACAGACATCTAAATTGTTTTATTTAACTAAAACAACAACGTTAAGTATTCTGGATTTTTTTTCTTCAAAAGCAAACTATAATATAAATATAATATTTTAACAAAACAAGAATATGTCCCTTGCTTCTCACATTTATCTCCAGACTTCTTCTCCTTGTCCAGCTCTATTCCGACCCCAACAATCTTCTATTCATTGAACTTTTTGGAAGTTTGCACATTTAGAGAGAGGTAAGGGATTGACTCTGTGTACACACATTTGCAGAGGGACAATAGAGTTGAGGTCTGTTATTTCTCATCTCTACATGTTTATTTATTTAGTTAAAAACATTTTTGCTGTTAACAAGCATGTTACCTCTGGAGAGACAAATCCACAGTTTGAGAACTGCAAAACTGAGCTTCTCGGATGGTATCTTCTAGACTGAGCACTGAGTCCCATTGGGTAGATAGAAATATTAACCTAAATAATCTATACAGAAGCCCCTGGAACCCCATAAGATTGGGTCCCTAATCCATGAACTATGGGAACTCATTTACAAATCTTTTCTTAAACATTACATGAATATATTGTCTCATACTGTAGAATTAGAATTTATAATCCCTATTCCATGATGAGATATCTTTGAGCTATTATGTATCTTAATTAAACCCATGTTTAGATAGGTTTTTTTCACCAAAAAGCATTTTATCAAAAAAATCCAATTTAAAAAATCTGATATTTTTGATTTTTTTTAAAAAAATCATTGATTTTTATCCACCTTGATTGGTGCAAATCAATATCGGTACAAACAAGCCTGGCTCCTGCTGAGAGACTTATGTGTTTGTGTAACTTGTAGCCTGCGAGTAATCCCGTTAAAATTACAGTGCCTACACGGGTCTTGGCACAGAATATTTTTTGTTGTTGTTCATGGTATTCTGGCTACGAGCATTTTTTTATTTTAAATAAAGCAATGCCTAATTTGGTGTCCTGGTGTTGTCAGGTTGCATATCACGCAGACAAGATGAGTCACACTTTCTGCAAAGAGAGTGCTGTCACTACGCAAAGGTTATGTGGCTGGTGGTTTATTTGTCGCCTTCCTGTGAAGCATCAGAGATGGCCATGGTTGGAGATGTGATGCTGGGTGGGCCGGGGCACTGAACGTTCTCTCTCTTGGGTGCTTGCCTGGCTGGTTCTTGCTCAGGTGCTCGGTGATTCTAACTGATCACTGTATGTGGGGTTGGGAAGGAATTTCCCCCCAGATCAGATTGGTGTTGGTGGGGGGTGGGGGGTGCTTGCCTTTCTCTGCAGCATGGATAATCTCTGTGTCACTTGCCAGGATTATCTGGGTATATCTTACTTAATCATTTTCCTGCCATTACAGGAGCCTCGGGCATCGGTGCGGCTCAGTCCCTTCTGTTTTCCCTACGTGGCATAGAATAGCCTCGTCTGCTGTGGGCTGTCATACTTTGGTCTGATTTTGGTTGTTGGGTTTAGTGTGCAGGTGGTGGGGGTGGCCTGGTATCTACAGATGGTCAGGCTACATGATTTAGTAGACCCTTCTGTCTTTAAATTCTGTGACTAGAAAAATAATTCAAATGGCAGGATTTCAAAATCATCCCATATGGAAGAAGATGAAGTTTAAAAAGATAAACCTTGCTCAGAGAAGTGTCCCCCCACTCCCACAATAAGGTAAAAAAAATTAACAGAGGGAAAGTGTTTAGTAAAATACAACACAAGCAGTGAGACTTTGGGTATAAAGCATAAAAAAAAATAGAAGATGCTTCTCTCTAAAAATATTATCGATGTTAAGCAAAAATATGTCAAGAGTTATCAATATCTGAATCTTAAGCCATCCCCTGAGAAAATTCTTACGTGGCTGACGTAGCTAACATTTTGGCATCATAATCAAAAAAGACTGCAGGCAGTCTCTTTTGCATGGCTTGTCTGCTGCTCTGCACATTTCTGCACAGCAGGGGTTATGTATTTAAACCGTTGGCTAGCTTTTTGTATAATTAGATTTTTAAAAATTGGTTGAATGTTATGTTGAATACACATGAATTGCTACATGAAATCCTCCCTTTTGAGTGCTGTTGCTTTGGTGTGGTTTCCAATTTGTTTTGGTACCAAGCTATTATCCTTTATTCGCAGGTTATCTACTTCATTCTAACTTAAAGGAGGGTGTGGAACATTCCACACTGAGACCTAATGGGCTGTTTATAAGCTTTTGAAATGTTTAAAATCTTTATTACCAAACTTCAATTTGTGGAAAAAATCGGTACAGATGTGGTGTCCAAATCCCTAAACTCAGTTTTGTGGACTACTGTATCTTGTAAATACAGTGAGTTATCACTTTCTTTGTCCAGATCTTCCTGTATATTCACTGTTTCCATTATGCCACGAGAAGTAGGTTAATAATAATATTCCAGAAGCAAAAACTTTTGTTGAAAAGAATTAAGGATGGTTGTGTTGGCCTTCTCCCCCTCAACTGCCCCTCCCCACGCAATTACAACTCCTGAAAAGCAAGAAAATACCAATTTATGGAACATCTTTTAACTGTACCCCAGTGACCATGCAGTGCATTTTCCCTGACTGACAGACTCAGCATCCTTCCAAGGAACTTCCTTTTGCTTCCAACAAGATAAGGAAATGTGCTTGTCACAGTCCACAGGTTCAGTACTCTGGAACTGCTCTGAATGAAATTCAGACAGGACCCTCTTGTAGTGTGACTACCCCTCAGGGCACACTCTCTTTATGGCAAGCCTCCTTGGCTGTTTCCCTGAGCTCCCCGCAATGAGTCCACCTGAACAGGACACCTGGGGAAGCCTTACATGCCCCCCACAAGGGCCATAAACCCTCAACTTCGCAGTCAGCAGTGACTGTCAGCCAGCCTTGTAAAACAGAAGGGTTTATTAGTTGTCTGGAACACAGCGGAGAACAGATCTTGTTAGCACAGAAAGTAGGAAGATTCAGCATGTCCGGGGGAGGTGGGGGAAATCCAGAGCCCTGGGCCCAACTCCTCCCCTCCCCAGTCCCAAACCAGGAGACTGACTAGCTTCCAGCAGCCCACCCTCACTCAACCCAGTTGCCCCTCCTCCGTCCTTTGTCTCTTTCTGGTCACCTGGCTTCACCTCCTTCGGCTGGCTCCTTGCAGAGGGGTCCCGGCCATCAGTTGCCAGGATACAGAGTGTCCGCCCATTGTCTGGGCCCAGGGAGCTAGACAGCAGTCACACCCGCCCTTTATGAGTCTGTAACGATCACACACCCTTGTCCCACTACTTAGATCAGTGGTGGGCAAACTGCGGTCCCTCAGAGTAATCCGCTGACGAACGGCCAGACAGTTTGTTTACGTTTGCACGGCCGCTCCCAGTGGCCACAGTTCACCGTTCCTGACCAATGGGAGCTGCAGGAAGCGGCGCAGGATGTTCTGGCTGCCGCTTCCCGCAGCTCCCATTGGCCGGGAATGGCGAACCGTGGCCATTGGGAGCTGCAGGCAGACGTGCCTGCGGACAGTCAATGTAAACAAACTGTCTCGAGGCCCGCCAGTGGATTACCCTGACGGGCCGCAGGTTGCCCACCATTGTTCCAGTAGCGCCTGGTTACTAGTATTGTTTATGGCTGGAATGTGACCAATCAGGAAGCAATGTGTTTTGTCTCCTTTCCATCTGATTGCTTCCTTTTCTTTTTCTATTGAGTTCAGAAGTAAACATAGAGCTGTTCCCCTGTGAATCCACGCCTTTCCTCTCCCTGCTAGCCTCTTATACTTTCCTTACAATTTCTGTCTTCTTTCCTACTGCTGGGGCTGAGTTCCATTCCTCAGGAGTAGGAAAGTTGCTTTCTCAATTAACAGTTCTCTACCAGCCTCTCTCTTTCCTTTGCTTATTTCTCTTCTTGCTGCCTGGATCATCAAAGCCCTATCTAAAGAAGAATTGTATTCTGTTAACATTATTATAAATACATACCTTGAATCTAGATATTTCCAACCAGGTTATAACAGTTTTATAAAGGCAAGGCTAAATTTTAGGTTCAAAATCAGGACAGTGGAAGGATTGTCCCATTGCTGTAAGTATGGATAAAAATAGAATTTTACACAAAGACAATTACTTGGCTAAATTTCCCCCCCTCCTTTCTCTTTTTACTATTTTTGAAGCTATTCAAATGTTAGTGCTTTGTCCATCTCAGCCTACTTTCTGATTTTTCAGAAAGCATTGAAGTCATAATTCTGTACAAAAGAGATCATGGTCTGTTCTTATCAATAAAATTATTGCTACAAATTTGGTTTTATGACTTAGTTCCAGCATCAAAGAAGAGAAAACGTTCTCACAACCCATCTTTTCAAGTCAAAGTACAATAACATTGGTAATTAGCAAACCTAGAAAAGAGAAATGAAAAGCTGTGAAAGGTGAATTAAGATTTTAGGCTGATGTGTTTAAATGTTTCCTTAGTACAGGGGCGGCCAACCTGTGGCTCCGGAGCCACATGCGGCTCTTCAGAAGTTAGTATGCGGCTCCTTTAATAGGCACCGGCTCCGGGGCTGGAGCTACAGGTGCCAACTTTCCAATGTGCCCGGGGGTGCTCATTGCTCAATCCCTGGCTCTGCCACAGACCCTGCACCCACACTACCCCTTTCCAGCCCCTCCCCTGAGCCTGCTGTGCCCTCGCTCCTCCCCCTCCCCCCCCAAGCCTCCTGCAGGCCACGAAACAGCTGATCAGGAGGGAGGGAAGGTGCTGATCGGGGGGCCTGCTGGTGGGTGGCAGGCGCTGGGGGCGGGGAGCTGATGGGGGGTGTTGTCAGATGCTACCGGTGTGGTGCGCTGCCTTCTCCTACGTTGATATCACTCGGCTGCGTGCGTGTGTTCCCTCTGTGTGCTGCCCCAGCTCTGCGCAGATAGCTGACACAGCAGACCCGAAGAGAACCCCCAATAACCACAGAGTCTAGTAAGATGCAAAGTCACGTCGACTAGGTTTATTGCGACCTTGGACACAATTGCAGTTCCCTGTAGGTTTCTTAGCCTAATTCAGGGCATACTACGAGAAAGTGCCTCTTGGCAATGGACCCGGCTCAGTCAGTGGCGGGACTTTCCACTGCCCCCTCGGCCGGACAAAGACACCACCCCAGGGATACATTCTTATACACAGGTACATACAAGTTACACATCACTCCTGACGTATTGAGGTGCAACCCCTCTACGTAGCAAGGTGCCGCCTCTCACCTTGTACAGATTGGTTCGATCAAAACAACTCTATCCATCATTTTACCCTTTTGCCCTTGTCATTGGGATGGGTCAGCCTGTTCCATGTTATCGTGGAATGTTCCAGTATAGTGTGTTTTGGTACCGTGTTTATACTTTAACTTTGCTAGGTGAATATATATTTATGCAACATCAGCCCTTTTCCTGCCAGCTTCTGTGAACCGAGCCGTCCTCTGGCTCACAGCTTAACTTTGCTTTATGTTAGCAAAGTCTTGACCATTACTTCAGTTCAGGCCTTAGGCCTCATACCAGGCCTCTGATACCAAGGTTTATATCTCAGGGCCTCCTCTTACTACAGGGGGCTGCTGACGTATTGCTGTGGCTCTTTGGCAATGTACATTGGTAAGTTCTGGCTCCTTCTCAGGCTGACGTTGGCCACCCCTGCCTTAGTATAAAAGTTCTCTTATATTCTTGTGGTACTGCCATAATTTTTTCCCCTGAGGCACATTAGTGTTAAGTGTTAGAAAACTGAGAATGCCCTTGTTTTTCCTCTGTATTAACCAACACACTCATGGTCCTGTGTCAGCTCTGATCTTTCCAGTAGAGGAAGAAAACTCCATTTAGAGCCTATTTATGCTACTTCTTAATTAGTGGGAGGAATCATCAATGTGAATTTCTTCCCCCAGGAGCTGAGTGTTGCTATATGACTAATCCTTTGCTATTGGCAGGTATGGTTTGTGTATATCTTTTATTTCTGTAACCTCTGAATAACATTTTTTCCCTACCAAAAAGAACAAATTCAAGCTTTAGAAGCACAGATTATTGTCCATGTCAGCTGTGGAAAAGAACACTCGCTGGCTGTTTGCAACAGAGGAAAGGTCTTCTCCTGGGGAGCTGGGTCTGAAGGCCAGCTGGGCACTGGAGAATTTAAGGAACAAAGTTTAATCCCGAAGTAAGTAGCCATTTAAGCATAATGTTTCAGACTCACAGCATGGTCCCCATTTGTGCACCTCATGAAACCACTATAAAATCTGGCCCAGTTTGACATGGGTCACTGGAACTGGAAGGTCTGAGAGATAAAAGTTGAGTTTTGTGGGAAGTTTGCAGGGCATTGAATCTCACATGTAGCTGTCTCAAAACAGGTGTAAGAGTATTAAGATGCTGTGCGTGGTTTCCCACTCTTGCATAGCAATGTTCTTTACTTACCCAAACACAGCATTTCATCCACAAGTTAACTTTGTCTCTGTATGATTTCTTTTATCATAAATGAGGGATTAGACAGTGGTTCAACATCACCTGGATTGTTTGCAGCTTGTTTAGAAGAGATTTTTCTGCTAACTATATTGGGGGTGATGTAGGCTTCAGCATGCATGGAGAGAAAACTGCTTGAGGATTTCAGATTTTTTTTTTCAAGTGCACTTATAGGGCTTATTTATAAATCTCAGTACATGCACTCATCTGTGACTATGGGGCTAAATTCAGCTCTGGCATAAGTGTTCCAGTGGAAGTCAGTGCCAGAGCAGGATTTGCCCCCTGCAATTTTTGGGCAGTGGTGCAGCCAGAAGTTAAAGTAGAGGATACATGTATTTATTTCACATAATCCTGTTAGTTGTTCCTGTAAATGACATTTGTTTTGCATCCCCCACCGCGAATGTCCGATCAATGCAAGTTACGTTGCTTTGCCAAATATGCCTTTTTCTAACCATTTTTGCACCTGACATATTTGTGACATGGCTACTGATTGGTATACAGAAATGTAAAGCACAAACAGTACGAACACAAACCCTTCGTTATTTTTATAGCAAGTATATTTCTGTCTCTCTTTCCTGTATAAGGAGAATTGTCGTTTACCTGTCCTTCCCTTATCCCTCCTCCTCCTCCTCCTCCTCCCTCAAAGTCAGATGCATCTAAGACCAGGTCAGCTACTTCAGCTCCCTTTAATCCTGACTAAAGTTTAGGCTGTACAAGAAGCATGGGAACAGGTCTCCAGTCTCTTGCAGGGTGCACCGAAAATTCAGGATCAAGCTCTAGAGTCTAGAGCTTACAGTTTGTTGTTATTTAGAAGCCAGTGCACGTCATGTAACACAAAGCTATTCTGGGACCTTCACTGAGCTGCTGTAATGTTCAGAGTTAGATTTAGGCTTGGATTATGCCCCCTTTTGCCTCAGGTGGCAGAGAAGTCAGCCCGCCAGAACCTCCCCTTCACCAGCGTAGGTGGGTGGGGGGAGTGAGTAGCAGCCAAACAGAGAAGCTCCAAAAGTGGGTGGTGCTGACCAGGAAGGGGATGTGGCAATGATGGCTCAGGGATGATCCTATGGGGGCATGACCAATTAAAAGCTGCACTTCCCTAGGGGAATCCTTGTGGGGGGATGGTGCCTGCCCTTTCCCTGACCTTAATTCTTTCCTTCCCCTACTTTGCTTCCCAGCAGGAGATCACTAGACCTCTCCTCACCAGCAGGGATGCAAACAACTCCTCAGCACACCAAGTTCTAAAAAGCCAGTTAATGTTGTAAAATAGTCGCTAACATCTGGACACCACTGTAGAAGAATCATCCTGACCAGACCATGACTCTTTGGTCACGTGAGGAATGGTTTAGCTGGCATATGAAATTCCGAGGCCTTGCTGAACTCAGGAACAAAATGCTCCCATCCTGTATCAGATGAAACTCTAGCACTTCTTTGCCCATTCGTAATGTTGTTTTTCAGTCTTGTAAGACAACATTTTTAGTTAGTTAATTATTCCCCACCCCACCCTCCCATGCATGCCCTTTCTATCTGCTTGTTGTGCATGGGGGTGGGGAAATTGTAAGCAGTTTATTAAAACTCACATTTGAAAATGATTGAGTGAAAAATATTGAGCCCATTCTTAACAGCACTCTACACACAGACTTAAATGGGAATTTAGCACATGGACTAGACCCAGTCTGGATGACTTTATGGCATATCAAACATGGCTTCTCAAGGAAGTCTGTAGAAGAGATAGGGTTTTTCAAAACATTTGAAACAATCTAAAACTCCAGTCAACTTTGTTTTACATGCATAGGCAATACCAACAGAGTCTATTCAGAGAGCACTATTTAGAAAAGAAGCTTTTATAATTAAGAAATATAGCATGCTTTTTAGACCCTTAAAATTCAGACATAAGAATGGCCATACTGGGTCAGATCAAAGGTCCATCTAGCCCAGTATCCTATCTTCCAACAGTGGCCAATGCCACTGAGGGAATGAGCAGAACAGGTAATCATCAAGTGGTCCATAATCCAATCCATAATGGATTTTCATTACCAAAAAATCTGACCTATAAACAATCTTCATGCTAAATTTCTAGTTTTTGTTCCAAACTGCTAAGACACCAAAGTTCTTTTTTTTTTTTTTTTTTTTAAAAACACCTTACAACATTTTCTCCATTATTAAAATTTATGTTTGCTTTCTGTTTCCCACCCTGCCTTTGTAGTAAAACAAACAGCAGAACAATATTTGCCTGAACTTTCTAAAGACTTTCTGGGTCTGGTTCCTAATGATGAACGTTTCACCCTCTCCAGGTGAAAATTTGACAAAGTTCTAGGCAAAAGTCCTTTTTAGCATGGACATGTTTGGGGAACCTTAACTTTAGCTGTAGCTGTGCTCTCCAGCTATAATGTTTATTTATGGATATTTTTGCTGTCAAAAAAAGTGACATTGCAGTGGATGCGTAAGAATTTATTCTGAATAGTGTCAAAATACAGTGCACGTTCACCTCTGTGTGAATAATAGACAACTGAAGCACAGGACATATTAAGTCAGAGTCCAAATGACACATTTATGTGCATATATCCTAAGTAGTGGAGAAACAACCTATTGCAGAAAACTTTGACTGGCTAATGACCGGGCAAAGGTAAAACAGAGACTGTGCAGAGTCAGTGTTATAAAATATATTATATTTTAATATTATATAATATTATAATATTAATATTTTAGGTATTACATCATCTGTTTTCTGAAACATAATTGAGTTTTTCATATGATCTAGAAACCAGGTTAATTTGGCTGTCCTGTTATCTACTACAGGAAAATAGATGGTCTCTCTGCTCTCAGAATAATACAAGTCACCTGTGGGCACTTTCACTCAGTTGCACTGGCACAAGGTAATACACGTTTCATTTTTAAATTATGTCCCAAGTGCAATGCAAGCAATTCTGTTCTTTGGTGCAGTTAATTTATATGCAAGTCAGATGTTAAGTTATCCATTACTCCTTTAACAGAAATTATTATTATTAATCATGCTTGTTAACGGTAGTGCTCATGGACCAACCTAGAATGGAGCCCCATTGTGTCAGGTACAATGCAAACACAGAGTAGTACGCAGTCCTTGCCCTGAAGAGTTTACCGTCTAATAGACGAGACAGAGAAAAGGGAGGGCAAAGAGATGCAATATGCAAGCAGAGCAATCAGTGTGATGCGGGAAATGTCAATTTATCTTTTTCTGTTTTTCCTACAGCCCAAATAATTCCCAGTACCTCATTTCTGAAAAAGCCCGGTGGGGCCAAGTTACCCATTGGTTAGTTATGCTCACAAAGGAGCTGCTAGTAACGTTTTTTTGTCAAAGCATTAGCTATTGTGTCAGGTGTTGTCTGTGATGGGAAGGCAACCCTTCTCAAAACTGCTATTTAGATAAGAAAATGTCAAAAATCTTTCCCACATTCTTTTTGGGAATTGTTCATTTGATAGGTAAGATCCATCTTCAATAATAAAGAGATGAACGTGTCCCTTCTTCCTTTTCCTAGTGAGGAACCACAATTCCTGCTATATGAATTCTTACATCTTACATGATGGTTGGATGGGCAGAGAAGAAGCTTCCTCTGTTGTCGCCTGTTCTGTACTTCTTCTGTGGCTAACCAGAAGGCACTCGGTTCTAGGGCTGTCAATCTGGCACTTGTCATGAGCACTACATTAAATATATGCATTTGGCATAAGATGTCATGTTAAGAGGGTGGTATTTTATTTTGTTATACAGGTTCACTGGCATTTTACTAGTAGAAGGGGACACTGAGAAAAGTATTTTCCGTTCATTATTTTTTATTGTTAAATGAAAAACGTAACACAGTTTCTGTGAGCATACAGGACTACCTGACTCCTCAGTTTTGGATGGATTAGGAAACTACAGATTCTAATTTCAGTTTGTTACAAACACAAGCTGTGTAAAATTATTCTGTCAGCACAGTGTCACGCATCTCCAGGTATTTGCCAAATCACAAGCATGAGGAATAATGGGTATGTGCCAAATTTAGTTGTCATGACGCTCTGCAGTCATTGAGGTAGTGTGTGTGTTAGTGAGCATAGAATTCACCCTTACGTGGCTTGACTGAGTGCTAAATCTGCCCTCCTCTGTGGCATCAAGTTCACATCAAGGGCATAATTTCTCACAGCTCTCAGTGAGCTAGTTAGTTAACATGTCGCTTGAAGGTGTGTCTTCTTTTACTTTGTTTCTCTCTTTCTTTTAAAAAAAAATAAAGATGGCAGAGTCTTCTCATGGGGACAGAACACCCATGGCCAGCTGGGCCTGGGACAAGAAATCCCCTCCCAGCCTAGCCCACAGCATGTCACATCTCTCAGCGGGATCCCCGTGGCTCAGGTTGCTGCCGGCGGGGGACACACCTTTGCCCTGTCTCTCTCGGGAGTTGTGTATGGGTGGGGAAGGAACAACGCACGGCAGCTGGGATTAAACCACGCTAACACAAGAGGTAACTCTATCCTTTCATTTCTCAAGGAAACTCCATCTTAATTCCAGATTTCCTCTCGTTGTATAGACTCTCCTGAGATAATGGGATGGACTTAGACTGTTCGCTAGAATGAACCATGACTAGAACTAGATGACTATGAGGGGGAAAAGGATACGTAAATGTTTGAATGAATTTGCACCAACTGTGTTTGCCTTCTGTGCATGTTGTATCAAATGAGTTTATTGGCGGGAGAAATCACCAAAACAGCAAACTTTAAGCAATAAATTGCAGAATGTTTGCAGGAAACACATTTCGAATTCATATCCACACTGGAAACCTGATTGTAAGAGTTGTACCTACCCAAAGAGGGAGCAGAAACGTACTGTGACATTACCCAGGGTACAATCTGGACTGATGGACAGCTGTGTCCTCGCAATTCTCCAACCTGGGGTGCCTTTTACACTGCTTCACCATGAGAGCATCCACTCCTGGTCTGCTCACACACAGCCTCTAGCATGTAGGTTACTCCCAGTTATACCATAACAGTGCTATAGCCAGCCACTCATGAACTACTCTGCAGGGCAACACCAGCAAACTCCCAGTCCTGGACTTCCCTCCCCGAAATGTGCATTTTGTACTGCCCAGCACCCTCCTGGACAATACAAGTTCATATAAAGTCCGTTATTTCATTAATAGAATAACAGGGGTGGCCAAACTGTGGCTCGTGAGCCACATGCGACTCTTTTACCATCGAAGTGCGGCTCGCAAGCCCCCCAGACTCCCTCCCGTTCTCCACCTACCAGACCTGAGGCGGGGGGGAGAAGCTCAGGACCTCGCCTTGCATTAGGGTGGTGGGGTAGGGGCTTCTGTCCAGCGGGGAGGGGGGTCTCAGGGCTTCAGCCCTGCGGGGCTTGGGGCTTCAGCAGGAGTAGGGCTGAACCCTCAGCTCCCGGCAGGTGTGTCCTGGCTCTTGAACTTCTAAAGATTGTTGTACGTGGCTCAGAGGGCCAGTAAGTTTGGCCACCCCTGGAATATGATATGCACAAATCCTGTTCTCCCAAATGACGTTTCTCAAACACACTGGTTTAGATAAAACAACTTTATTAACTACAGAAAGACGTTAAGTGATTACAAGTAATAAGGCATAAAATTCAGAATTGGTTACAAAGAAATAAAAGGTAAAATGTAACTAATACTTAACAAGCTAAGTGAATTCAAAGCAAAGGTCTCTCTCACCAGAAGTTCCAACCATCTTACTGGCTGAATCCTTTAGTCAGGATCCCTCTCCAATGCTGCTTCCTTTGTTTTTCAAGCGTTGTTGATGCTGAGGGTAGAGAGAAAGGGAGAGGTGGTTTGCGGTGTCTGCTCTCTTCCTTCCAGCCATTTCTCTTGCACAAGAATCACCTCCAGCTGATGTTCAAGAGACAGAAAGTCTGTGTCAGGAACCTCAAGCTGCTGCTTTGTCAAATTCTTTGCCCACACCCTCTCTCCTGCAGAAGAGTGGCCACTTAATCAGCTGAGGGTCCATTTGATCTTGTTGACACTTGGCTGAGCCCTTGGCTAGCCTTTTGTCTCTGGGGAACTGGTTTGTGACTGCCCCCCAGAACAGGTTGCAGCATGACTCAGTAATACCACACAGTGGAATCTTTACATACAGGGTTGCCACACACATTTTACCAAGACAATAATGATCAGCAAATCCTGCGTTTTCAAATGATAGCTCCCAATGCATACTTAGTACAAGTTTTACCATAATCCTCTAAAAGGGGTGAACATAGGGGGACAGACTGTCACACATACCACCTAGCCCATCAAAACAGCTTGAACTTCTAACATTGAACTCTTTCAATGTCTCCTTACAAACAAGATACCATGTAAGAACTATTTACAGAAATTCAGTGAATCATGTGAACAGCAATTAAATTGGAGAAAATGATGTGTTTGGACAGGAAAAGAGATGATTGACTCTATTCAGCCAGCTCTAACCATAACATTTCCACAGCTTGTATAATGGGCCCACGGTTCAGGCAGCTGTGGAGACAGTAGCATCTTTAGAAACTAGAAAGAATGACCAATTCATTTGAAAGCTGATGGTATAAAAACCAGCAGAGTAATGTGATAATATTATACTCATAAAATTCTGGCCAAGCTAACAATATGCAATTTCTGTCTGGATGGAAAGTTTGATGGTTCGCTATTTTCAGAGAATCTGTTAGGCCAGATTTAACCTGTATGGAATGTGAGTTTCGGGGGTGGTGGGTTGTTTTGTTTGGCAGTCTGGATGTTTAAGCCAGCATCTTCAAGCACCCTTTGAGTTTCTTGCTCAGCCTGTAAGATTTCCCACCAGGAACCAAATCTATGGTCTGTTTGCAGATTACAAATCCAAAACAAAGACAAAAACTACAGCCAGGTTGATGGCTTTCAAATGCAACTTCAGCATGGCCTAGAGCAAAAACTCTTCTGTTTCTACTTCTGCTCACCAGACAAAGCACTTACATTTAGGGTGACCAGATAGCAACTGTGAAAAAAACAGGACGGGGGTGGGGAGTAATAGGTGCCTATATAAGAAAAAGTCCCCAAAAACGGGACTGTCCTTTAAAAACGGGACATTTGGTTACCCTACTTACATTCCTTGCACTAGTTGATGCTATAGTAGGTGTGTATGTAAATACGAGGAGACTAAAGCACAGATGATCTCATTTTGCCCTTAAACTCCCCTTCCCTTTTAAATATTTTTAAATAATCATGGTCAGATGATATGAAATCTCAGCGGGCAAGATGCTAAAAAGCAGGGTTAGGGTAACCCAACATCTGGTGGATGGTGCTCTGAAAGGAAAGAAGCCATTTCACATGCTATAGGAACCTGTGCTTCTCCAACAGAGCAAGTCTTCAAACCGTATGCGGTAGCTGCTCTGAAGACTATTGGCGTGGTCTATATCAGCTGTGGAGATGAGCACACTGCAGTGCTCACCCAGGTATGCTCCAAATTCTTCTGTGTGATGGACAGCCAGGCCATGACAGTCTTCAGATAAGTGTGTGTGTGTGTGTGTGTGCGCGTGCGCGTGCGCGCACGCTTACTTGGTATGATGGCACAGCAAGGCTTAAGGGCCTTCGTTTGATTTTGGGGGACGGAGGGATTAGAAGACCCGGGTAGTGCTAATCTTGTGCAAAGGCCTTAGGCCTCGTAACTTTCACTGAGGTCTCTGGGATGTTTATGTGCTCAAGGACGTCCCGGTTGGACATTTGCTGCAGTCTCTGGCATTGGAAACCCCTGTTGAGCATTTACATGAAACAGAACAAGGGCAGCTTAAGGTTATGAGACCCAGTCTTGCACCCATTATATTCAATGGAAACTTTGCCATTGACCTCAGTGAGTGTAGGATTGGGCCAAATCCTGCTCATTTTACTCAAACCTATGATGGGACTACTCAGATGAGGAAGACAGGAAGTAGGATATGGCCCAAAGTGCTGTATAACCATGAAAGTCTCCATTATCAATGGATAATTCAAGAAGCTTTGTTCCCAAAACAGAGCTTTTGGGAACACCCTACGTATAGCTACTGTTTATCCCAAAATTAACAACTATCCCAACAATTAACAATTATTAACGATTATTCCAATATGTACAAAAAGATGTAATGACAAATGTAAACAGGTTTTGTACTGTAGGAAAATGTTGGTATTTTGGAAATTTTACTTTAAATCTAAACAAAGGCTACTAATGACAATAGAAATTTAATATATTTTTTTTCTAATACCAAAAGCTGTGTTCTGAAAAATTATCAAAAATAAATGGAAAGCACATGAAGTAAAAGCAACATCCCTGCACTACTTCTGACATAGAAATGTTCTCCAACCAACCAGTCCATATGTTCAGCAGGTTGCTTTTCCCGGGGGGGATGGGGAAGGGTGTGTGTGTGTGTGTGAGAGAGAGAGAGAGACCCCCATTACTTTGACTGCTCCTTACAAGAGGGTTATGAATCTGCTATCTCTTCCATACTTAGCTCTGTACCTCAAGCTGCAGGTTCATGCTTTTAGTATGAGAAATCCCAGGTTCAAACCATGCTGACGGCCCAAACTGGATTAGTTACATGCCCACCGTGAATATGATCCTTCATTGGTTTCACTTGTGTATGGCTAGATTGTATCATCTTCTCTCAACAGTCTTTAGGTTTTCTTCTTTTTTTGTTGGAGGGGTTAAAATAAATTAGGAGGTGAAAGTCCAATAACCATGGCAAACTAAATTTGCTTTTGTTTCAACAGGATGGCAGTGTGTTCACATTTGGAGATGACAGTGCTGGACAGCTGGGACATCGCTCTTCAACCCAGATGCCTGGTCCTGAGAAGGTCGAATGGATAGACGGTCCAGTTTCCCATTTGGCATGTGGAAGGTGTATACTGTAGCTCATGTTTTTCATAATACAGTAGTCACATTTTGCAAGAGAAAACAAAATTGTTTTCTAAAGGAAGGTAGACAATTTGGGGTATTTTTTTTTTAACCAGGTGTGTGCCTATTAAAAGCAAATAACTGCTTCGATATAAAGCTAAATTTGCACAGTTACAATCAAATGGTCAATTAGTGAAGAAGTTACCCTCCAGTGCTGTGAGAACACAGATACATTAGGTGTTTGCAGCAGCCAGTAGAAACAGAGTTTTAGGGTGAAGTTCAATGGTACGCTCTGACTGCTTTGCACTCATTCCTTCATTAACAGTAAGCAGCTGTAAACCCAGCTTTAACTGGCCTGTGAAACTGGATTTCGTGCTCCTTCGCATCAGTGGAGGGATGCAAAGCATTCAGAAAAGCTGGCTCGTAACGTATAATTATAATACAACTTGCATATGCAGATTAGACACTCCTGAGGTAGTTCTGCTGTCTGGATTTTTTTGTGGATGGTCTCTATATAGCAAATTCTAGAGGGTTCAGAGGTCTGTTGCATACTGTAATATGAAATAAAAATAAGGCAGTATAGTGTATGTATTGCTCTTCATTGATCTCAAATTGTTTGCAAATCAAGGGCCAAGCTGAAGTCAAATAAGGCAAATAGGCCTTGGTCACTAAGTAGTAGTATCCTCCTTTTCAGATAGGAACACTGAGTTACAGTGGGACTGTGACTTACCGAAGGTCACACAGACTGTAGTGGTGAAGAATAAAGCCCATCTTGTCTGATTCCCAGTCCTGTGCTCCAACCACTAGATAGCCTAGTGAATTTGTACAGGTGCCTTTATAACCCTGGTTTATCATCAGCTGACTTATTGACTGGAAGGGAGAACAGAGAGTTTTCTGTGACAGATTTTTAACATGTTATCTCTTCTCTTTGGCAGCTATCACACCCTGGTCTACATGTCTACTTCTGGGCAGGTTATATCTTTTGGACGTGGTCCCCAAAGACACATTGAAAATGGAACAGCCAGTAAACCAGGGGAGCAGACACAGAACTTTGACATCAGCAGTCTGGTTTCAGCTAACGGTACTGATTATAAGTGGAAATATGTTTGTTTTTACACAATGTGTAATGAATCTGTGGAACTCATTGCCACAAGAGATAACTGAGGTCAAGACCTTTAGTTGGATTTAAAAAAGGATTTGACATTTACTTAAATAACAAGAACATCAATAGTAATATTAGATGGTATTAGAATATCTATATTTAGAAGGAATATAAAGCCCTCGTGCTTCATGGCATAAATCTAACACTAACGTGGGCTACAAAGAAACAGATAATGCCATCACAGGAATATAACTGTCATGTAATTATTTCCAAGCAACAGAGAATATACAATGAAAGTATACGGGGGAGTAAAATGTTGTTGTGCCTCTTGCCTGTATTTTTCTGTAACATCTCCCAGGGTCCAGTCCTGTAACCTGCTGAGCAGCTTCTGGGCATTTCCTAGCCCTCTCCATTCTCTTGACTTTAATGGGAGCTGCGGGCATTTAGCTACTTGCAGGTCTGGGGCCAGATCCAAAACCCCATTGAAGTCAATAGAAGGACTTGCACTGGCTTCAGTGGGCTTTGGATCAATGCCTAAGGCCCAAGAAAACAAAGTAGCAGCATAATTAGCAGCAGTAGAAATTGAGGATTTGGGGCTGAACTGATTCATGTTCTTGTAGATCTGTCGGGCGTCCAAGTGAAAATGATTTTTGCTGGAACGTATGTCAACTTCGTCAGTACTCTTCAGTCCCAGGTAGTGATATCCTGTCTTGTAGATTTCATTTAACTCATTTGTTTCAATGATAGTGGGCAGAATTGCAAGCAGTGTGTCACTAGCATGTTAGCAAATTTAAGCTCTATTCATTTTAAAGCAGATACACCTCTACCTCGATATAACGCTGTCCTCGGGAGCCAAAAAATCTTACCATTTTATAGGTGAAACCGCGTTATATCGAACTTGCTTTGATCCGCTGGAGTGCACTGCACAGCCCCGCCCCCCCAGAGTGCTGCTTTACCGCGTTATATCCGAATTCGTGTTATATCGGGTCGCGTTATATCGGGGTAGAGGTGTATGTCATGTTTTTGAGAAAGGTTTGGAAGCAATAACAGCGGCAGCAGTTTTTGCCGGGAACCTGCAGTAGTTAGCAATACACAGAGGGGAAAACGGTAATTTCCAGTTTATATCTCAGCCAAATCTGAACAGATTTACATGGGGCCCACAAAAGACACCTCCCTGACCCTAAGTTCATTCCCTTGTGAAGTTTCAGTTTTGCTGGCTGTAAACTATGAAGGCATTAGAGGTCTTAATTAAGGTTCTTATTACTTTTTTATGAGAAGTATTATGCAACTTTCATATTTGCTCTTAGTAACTTTTTTCTAAAATCAAATTTTATGGGCCAGATCCTCAGCTGCTGTCAGTGATCATCACTGCATTGATTTCAATGAAACTTCGTTGATTTGGCATGAGGATCTGACACAGTGTTTTAAGAAAGGAAAATCCATTCCTTAAATATACTCAAGTATATGAACCAATGTTGTTTTTAAAGGAAATATGTAACAAGTTTGTGTTGCAAGACTAAATCACCCAGTGTTAACCTAGCACACAGAGAACAGTAGAAAGAACAGTTACAGTGGTGGGTATAATTCTGACCATAATATCACAAGGAGGAAGTTGAGGTTGAAGAGCTGCAGTATGGGCTGATGATAATATTTGGTACTTATATTGAGCTTTACATCTTCAGCGTTCTGTAAAAACATTAATTAACCATAGCAATAGACTAGCGACGATTTATGGCTTTGAGCCCTTTGGTGGAGAATAATGGTTCTCCATGGATGCTCCATTAACCATAAGTCATCCACAAAGCCCTTCCTGGTAGTCTGCTGAATGAAATAGTTTGGAGCTAAGTGATGGTTGTTGGAGCAGGAGGACGTCCAGGTGAGACTGGAAGTTTTCATTTAGTAGTTTGAAGTTAGTTAGAACACAGCTCATGTATCTATATTGCCTGGTTCAGGCTAGGAGAGCCAGTTGAGCAGAGAAGATCCTCCAGTCATCAGCTCAAGGATTTCTCAAGCAGCTCACTTTAATCTCCAGAAAGTGTAATCCATAAATACAAAGCAAAGCTGGAGACCCGCAGCGGTTGGTAGGAAACTATGTGGTCCCCTAACTCCTCTTCCCACCCCAAATTTAACAATTTTAATCTCCAAAACCTAGTTAGTGGCTCTCTTCCTGTATTGCCCCTTCTTCCTCTCTAGAATTGTGTCCAGATCATTCTAGGACTGGTTCATATGGAAGTCAATAGCAAAACTCTCATTGAATGCAATGGGAGCCTGGTTTTAGAATTGGTTGCTATCTCAAAGAACTGGTTGGCATAGAGAATCAATGCAGGAGCTTTCAGACTGTTACTACAACATACCTTAACCTGGGTCCTTTTTCATTTTACTAACTGTTGGATAGATGATAAGGGATACTGTGAAGAGGAAAATTGGTGACCTTCAGGAGCTAAAATTAAGTTGTGAGGGATCCTAGGTACAGTTTGGTCCCATCTCTAAGGGTTAGTAATGATGATCTCCTTCTTCTGCTTCAGAATCCAAGCCAAGAGAATTGCACATGTTTATTGTTTGTCCTCCCACTATGTTACAAAATGTAAATAAAAATAAATTTTTCTTTTCAATTTGGGAAGAATCAGGTTTATCATGGTAGTACTCTCATCTTGTTTTGCCTTTTTACTTTATAGCCTTCCACATAAAATAAATCTACTTTAATGTCAGGAAGAGTAGTACAAGATTAGTGAACTGGTAGTTTCTCCACGTAGCCTGTTGCATTTACCTGCCTAATGCAAATGCAGGGTCTTCAGTTTTGAGCAAAAGTGGGAGCAGATTTGATCAATTGCTTTGTAAAAAGCTTATTTGCAGTGGGGGTTTATAATTTTATATACAACTGTATGCATTTACTAAACTTAATCTTTTATTGTTGTATCTTTGCTTTTTGGTTTTATTTAAGGATCTTGAGCATGCATGTGGGATCTCTCCCACAGATACCCTGCAGAAGATTAGCAGGCTTGACAGGACATTGATAGATAAATGGATGGCAGTGACAGTTGGCACTGATGAATTCCAGGAGGCTAAAAGGTTGCTGTCTACCACTTTTCTACATTATGGGATATGAAGACTTGTCTTTAGACATCTTTATAGTCAATGTACTAAAAACTTATTCATAAACTTTAAACAAAAGTAGGGTCTGTTTTACTGCCTTTACTGAAACTACTAGGCCCATACCTAGCCTATAACGTGGCTGTCCTACAATTTAGCCAGCCTTGTATGAACACCCTTTGATGACAACCAGCCCTGACCAAACACTGTTTCTGAACTCAATTCTTTAATTGTTTTTCACTAAATCATCAGAGACCTGTTTGCTGCTAAATGGGAATTGAAGCAGATCCTTAACTGACTGGAAAGACACCCTCTCATTTCATTTGGAGTCAGATTAGATGCTAAAGGCCTGATGCAAAACTGGTTGAAGTTAATGGAAAGACTGTCTTCACTGGGTTTTAGATCAGGCCCTGAGAGAGAATAAAAATCCTGCAGCAAACAGTATCTTCCTCTAAATGACATATCTTAAGAAAGCATCTTTTAGCAGTAGAAAATTCATCATGCAAACGTGCTCTCTTAATAGATAAAATAACAGAGTAATTGCTTAAGATTCAGTCTTGTAAATGTCTGCGCGCTAATACATTGACCTACTAGGTGGGATAATTGTTTAATGCCTACTTTCTTGTATTATTGTGTCTTTTTTAGGGAAATAGCTGTGATATTTTCTTCTCCTGCTTGTTTAAGTGCAAGTTTTTTAAAACCCAGGTAAGTGATACTTTCAATGCCATTCTTTGCAAAGTTTAAACAAGAAGCTAAAATTGTAAGTCAACTAAATTATGAAGACAAAACCCTATCCCCGTTTCCAGAAGATGTACCTGCTGGGTTTAGGGGTGGCAAGGGAGTTAAAGCAGAGCGGTGCCAGCCATTTTTAAGTTTGAATAACCGTCATGTTGCTGCGGGACAAGAAGATTCCAGGTAGCAAAGGGGGATCATGTAGTTGTGATACACTCCGCTACTTCTTTAACAAAGGAACACCATTCAACACGCTGAATCCCCAGCACCCATGCTAGCATATGCTACACACTGCAGTATATGCACTAGGCAGCCAGAGACCCAACCGTACCGCTAGCCAGCAGACCACGCTTGTCGACTGGCCAGTCTACTGCTTGGCCTCCTCAGCATTCGCAAGTGCTCGCTAAGAATCCTGACCACCTCGTTTGCGAGTGCGCTTAGGGGTGTGTTGAAAAATGCTCCCTTTCCCCTCTTCCCGCTCCTCCACCCTGGGCAGGGCAGATCTAGCCCATGGAATTTACCTGAGTTTCCTAAAGCTTTAATTTTAAAATACCTGAATAAGAATTGCAGAAACAAGCTGCCGGCTGAGCTAAGATGTGTTCTCATACTCTTTCACTTCACATCGCGGTTCTACAGCTCTAAGGCTAACAACAATCCTTCGGGGCTTTTTACAGAGCTACAGCGATTCTAAGCTTGTTTATATTAAAAAAACAACCCACAGGTGTATGATATAGTTTTTGCTGATTTAGGGGACAGGGTTGGTATTGTGCTATTGAGCCTACAGAGTCACTGGTTCAAATCCAGCTCATTAAAATAGTGACTGACACTTGGGACCGTCTGAGGGCTGTTTGGTGGCAGTGTGACCTGAACAGGTAGTCTTAGGTCATTTCCCAGACAGTGGACCCTTGTCCATGTCACAGTTGGAACTGGCCCTCTTTTTTTAACAGTCTCAGCAGAGAGACCAAGGATTGAATGGGCACAAATACTCGGCTGTCCTCTTCCCCCTGACAGGTGATGCTTGGTTGAGGCATGCTGACTGGGCATTGTGGGAAAGCTTGAATTGCCACTCTGTCCTGTAGATTAGCAGAGAGAGTCAATTTCTAGGGCTGTCAGTTTGGCACATTGCACAGCACTAAATTCTGAAGAAGAACCTTTTAAAGATCAGTACTTGCTAAAGGAGAAAGAGCATTTTCCAGAAAAGATTTTAAAAAAACAACCACCCTAAAACCAAAATGTAACCATTGAGGTATATTGCAGCATCCTCCTTTATTGTATAAAATGAGGTGTATATTTTTCCTAATCACTTTAGCTCTGCTTTGGAAGCAAATGGTGTTGGTGTTGATCTACAAAAGGCAAGGGACGTATTTGATGAGCTAACCAAAAAGGAGTGGATCATTAACCAGGTAAAACATCTTGCAAGTTTTTGTGCAAATTACACTCCGGGTATAACTTAATTTAACAGGGGGTCGGGGTGCACAGGCTCGGTACTCTGGGATTGCTCTGAATGAAGTTGAGACAGGACCCTCTTGTAGTGTGACACCCCGCATGGCGCACACTCAGGAGGGCACAACTCCTTGGCTTCAGCATCTCCTGCGTCTGACCTTGGAGTGCTCAGCACCCATTTCATGCTGTGAGCTCCCTGCAGTGAATAGGGTACCTGGGAAAGCCTTCCACACACCCCCAGGGGCCGTGCACCCCCAACTTCGCAGTCAGCAACGACTCTCAGCCAGCGTCGTAAAACAGAAGGGTTTCTTAGTCATCTGGAACACAGAACAGATCTTCTTAGCACAGAAAGTAGGAAGATTCAGCAAAGTCCATTTTGGGGAAACATAGAGCCTGGGGCTCTCCCCCCATGTCCCAAACCAGGAGACTGACTCGCTTCCCGCAGCCCACCCTCAGTCACGTCCACTTGCCCCTCCTCCGTCTTTTGATCTGTTTCCAGGTCTTCTTGCAGAGGGTGGGGCCCGGCTATCAGTTGCCAGGACACAGAGTGTCTGTCCATTGTCTGGGCCCAGGGTGCTAGGCGGCAGTCACATCTGCCCTCTAGGGTCTCTGCACGATCACCCACCCTTGCCCCACCACCTAGATACTTGTGCAACATATAGGGGAAACTGAGGCACGCACAGTATTCCAACAAAACATTAAGTAAATTCCCACTTCATCACACAGGGAGCTACTGATTAATTTGTTAATTAATTAACTTGCAAGGGAATTTTTCTCTGTGTGTTGGGGAAGACATGAAGGGTCTGTAATGCTATCTGCCAGAGTTGCTCAGGACAAGCGTAGGATCCAAACTCTGCTCCCTGTGCAGTGATGCGTTGCACTTGGATATGCTAACACATGGACTCTCCTGATAGGCTGTTAATTTCCCTAAACCTCTCATCTCCCAAAGTCTTCACCTCCCAAGTATGAGGAATTGTTTTTAAACTTAAAAAAGAGGTAGCTGGCAAGTATATGAGAGGATGGGGACAACTCTTTATCCCAGGCCTAAATCTCCTCGCGTGTGGTATAATGTCAAAAGTATTTCTGTTTTTTAACACCATGACTTTGCAATTGGGAGGTAGACCAGAAACAGAGCAGCAGCACAACTTCCAAATAATGTGGATAGTTTAGGGATTTGGGCCAGTAAGTGGCTCATCATCTCTGAATAGAAAGGTGCAAAATAGTACTTCGGAGTCAGTTTTAAGGCACAATTGACAGTATGTATACAACAGCTCTAACAAACAAACCTCTCTTCATCCCTTTTTACCCCAATTTTAACATAGATTATTTTTTATTTTAACTACATCTGAATTCCGACTGCATTGAATGTTTTAAACTCTACATACAAAACTCTTCTGCAAAGTTTCAAGTCCAGCATTATGCCAGGTAGAAAGTATTGGCCGTATATTGCACTGCAAATCATTCTCTAAGTGCTTTCTCTCCTCCACCTTTATTTATTTTATTTTATTGCATACAGATAAATTACTATCTATTGGCTGAACTGATTCCTGGTCTTCCACTGCGTTCTCCTCATCATGAGGCTTTATCTGTTTTCCTGCTCCTGCCAGAATGCTCTGTGATGTACAAAGAACAGAACTTGGAGCCTTTTGTTATGCGACTTGCGCAGGCCATTAATAGCATGAGTGACCGTTCCTCAAACATACTGGGTAAGGTTGTTTCACTTTGAGCATGAGGAGAAGCCATTGCCTGAGATGGTAACTTCAGCACACATTTTAAAATGACTTAATTAGGACATGGTTAACATACTGGTGCAAACATACAAAGTGATAACTTTTGCCTCTTCACTTCACTACTTGTAGATAGTGGTGCTGTCCCAAAATCTTTATATGACGTGTGTGTGTGTGAGTGTGAGAGAGAGAGAGAGAGAGAGAGAGAGAGGGGAATTATTCTCACACAATTTTTGTTAGTTAGATCCAAAGGTGCTAGACTGCATAGTCCAATCAATGCAAACCCTAAAAAGCAAGGAAATAATATATTCTACACTCCATCTACACTCTACTCCTCAGCTCCTCTTCTCAATTTCATGTGCATCTTTTCCACAACTCACAGACCATATATCTCCACCTTCATCCTAAACAACCAGTGGGCTCCCTTCTTGTTGTTGTTTGTACTACCAGGCCTAGAAATCCTAGACACACAAGCTCCTGGTCCATGGGGCACTGTACGCACAGAACAAAAAGACAGTCACTACCCCAGAGAGCTTACAATCTACTTATAAGACCAGATAAATTAGGTGGACACAGACAGACTGGAGAGCATAGGAAACAATGAGATAGTATTGGTCAGCGTGATAGCCAGTGGTCTCAGCACATCAGTAGCCCAGTTGTTGTCAGGGATTTATAGGCATCTTGGCAGTGGGGTTTTGAAGGAGGGTAATGAGGTAGCTGTGTGGATGTTTATGGTAAGCACTCCCAAGCCTTCGGGGCAGTGTGGGAGAAACATGAAGGTGCTTGTTTGAAAGTTTAACAAGTGGACAGTGGAGGCTGGCATCATGGTCCGTTTGGAGGCAGGACTTAACCTTTTGATACTGAATGAGAGGGTAGGGTAGGGATAGATTGTGAAGGGCCTTGAAATTAAGACAAGTAACTTATGTTTGATACAATAGAGAAGAGGGAGCCAGTGGAGAGGGACTCAGAGAGGGGTGACAAGAGCCTTTGACGGACTAGGAAAATTACCCTTGAACTCTGACTGTTTATTGGCCTGGAGTGGTCATAAGTTCACATGATTAGGCTTGATGTTGCTCTCATCTGCTGTAGTTTTGTATGTGTGTTTTATATAAGTGGGTGTAAATAGCTGAAGTATGGTGTCTGATTGCATTTAGTGGCTGCATTGTTTCCCTCCAAAACCACGTTGCATTAAAAAACACTTTGAATCATGTATCATTCATAAGAATGCAAGCTGAAAGGTGTGTTTGTGGAGGAAGGCTGGGACGTGTGTGTTTCTTTAGAGATTTTTGTTTCGTTGTTTTTTTGGCAGCAGAGTTTTATTTACATGAATATTTTCCCCTCATATTTCAGAAAAATGCTGGACGTCGTTGTCAGCATCCTTTCTGGACAATGTGGTGCAGATGTTTAAAAAGGTTGTAGTATCTCAGCTGCCATTTTACGCTTCTCCCCGTTGCCGGGACACCAAACCTCTCCTAGAAGTGCTTGAAAAGCTGTACAGGGTAAGAATGTCTAGTCTGAATAAATCCATAGAGAATCATCACTGGTTCTAAGCAAACATGTGCATCTTAACCCAAATTTTATTCCATTTCAAGGCAAACAGGAAGGCTAACTACACACTACAGTTAAGCAATTTTTACATAGATGAAATCTCCGGAACATTTATTCCAACCGACATAGCAAGGTGGCGCTCATGGCAAGCTACAACTGTAAGTATGACATTGTACCGTCTCCTGGTTATTCCAGAGTTTCTAAGGACAGTGGATGGTTAAAAGACAGCAGTTGCTCCTTCGTTTTTTATTGTTGTAACACCTAGTATCTCCAGCTGAGATGTGGGCCAGACTGTGCCAGGCTCTAAACAGCCACTAAGCAAGAGACAGCATCTGCCCAGAAGAGCTCACAGTATAAATAGAGAAACACACACAACCCTGGGAGGGGAAATAGAGGCACAGAGGGTTGAAGAAATAGAACCTTGGTTTCCTGACTCCCAGTCCAGTGTCAGAACCACTACCTCTGAAATTTCTAACCTTAATGTTAACTCCATATTGTAGCTGTGTTTTGATTTTTAAGTCTGGGTTTAGTTGCAGTACCTGGTTGGTGGGGGAAATGGGCCCCAGGACCTGCACGTGATGCACAGCAGCTAATCCAAAGGGGTAGAGGGACTGTTATAATTCTCTTCTAGGCAAGAAGGGGAAGGAGACTGCAGTCTTGCAGTGCCACTTCTTTGTGTGTGGGGGCAGGGAAGAGAGGGAATCAATGAGTTAAGAGTGCGGAAACTGGGACTTACCTGTTTTATTTTTAAGTATTCAAAAGATATATATACCATTCTCATTGGTAGAATTCGTGTCATGAAGACGACGTTCCCGTCATATTCTGCCGTTTCCCTTTTATCTTTAACTTGGTTTCCAAGACTCAAGTGTTCCACTTTGATTCATTTTTCATGCAAGAGGTATGACCTGGTCTCTGTATACTCTGAGAAACAGTCTAGGTTGGTTTGTTTTTTGTGCGCCACAAAACTACAGTGGCATTTCAACCCCAGGAGCATGTGCTAAAGTGAAGGACTTAGAATCTATTCACTTTTTTTTTTTCCAAACTAAGGCTATGGCTAAACTACAGAGCTTACAGTGGTGCAGCTGTAGCGCTGCTAGTGCAGAGTCTATGCTGATGAGAGGGAGCTCTCCCGTCGACTTAATGACTCCAGCCCCCGCGAGTGGCAGTAGCTGTCCATAGCGCTTTGCACACCAGCACTTAGGTCGATGTAACTTACGTCACTCATGGGGGTGGCATATTCACACCCCTGAGCGACATAATTTATACTGACTTAGCCTGTAGTGTAGCCATAGCCTAAGTAAAGTATTTTCATGACCCAGCAGGTGCTATCAGTGGCAATATAAAGTATTTTGCCTGAGATGTTTATATTTTCTTCTTGGGGAAAATGGCATTGGTTGTTCAAATAGTATACTAACATGATCGACTCTGTAACATGACATGGGGCAGTGTGGTTTTAGATTCGGGGTGGGGGAGGAAAAGAACTTGTAGCGGAGCTTGGGAGCATTGTCTCCCAGGACAATTATTTGAAAATACACCTGCAGTTCAGTGGAATTTAGTCAATTATAAGGTGGGGGAGGGGATTTGTCCTAATTTCCCTGTGGTTTGGTGGCAGAATTTTAACAAAGGGCTTCTGGAGCCTCGGCCAGCACCTTGCTGCTTTTCCTATAGGAGAAGAGTAGTTCCCCCTACATGAGAATTATTTAGATCTTATTAAGTGTGCCACACTGTGTCAGCTTTCCGAACCCCCAGCTTCCCCGGGGGGGTCGGGGTCTGACCAGGCTCAGGACTCTGCCTGTGTGGATTGAATTGCAGGATTTGGGGCCATTCTGATGTAACAAAGAACGGAATTTGCAATTGAACATCAGAAGTTACTCCTTTGAACATCACTTAAGTCTTCTTTTACCAATGGGTGTTTTGGTTTGCCATAGAGAGACAAGGTGGGTGAGGTAATATCTCTTATTGGACCCACTTCTGCTGGGGAGAGAGAGAAGCTTTCGAGCTTACACAGAGCTCTGGGGAAAGGTATGCAAAGTGTCACCGCTGAATACAAAGTTTTAGCATAAGCAGTTACCACATTTCAAGGGACCATACCAGGTGAAGTGTCCAGTTAACACCCTCCAGTCATGGGGGCCGTGAGTGGGGGGGCAGTTAGTGGGTTATAGATTGTTGCAATAAGCCATAAATCAAGTGGTTTGCCATAGTCATTTCTGTCATGTTTTCCTGGCAAATGACTCTTTTGATATGGAGTTCATTCACATTTTCATCTAACTCTCCTTGTAAAAGAAGTTCTAATTATGGTGTATGACGTGAATACCACTTACTTCTAACACAGTATGTTTCAAATGAGAGAAAATGGGTGTGCAGTGCAATAAATTAGTGGCTAGAGCTGGGCAAATGTCACATAGAGGAGAAAATGTTTCACCCATTATCAATGCAGTATTTTTTTCAGGCAAGATGCTGGAAATATAGTTCTATGTTCATTTTTTTTAGGGTGCGAAGGTAGAAGCCCAATTCATACTGAAGCAGAATGAACTGCTGAGAAAGAGTGAGCTTCCTGAGTTGCCTGTTTTTCCTCTGCAAGTTAAACGCAGCAACCTGGTTGAAGATACTTTACGTAAACTAAGTCTGGTGGAGGACAGTGTCCTGAAAAAGCAGTTGTTGGTATGGTGCCCAGTCATGTTCTTCCTACTTAGCAATACGAGGGAGATTAGAGAGTAACTGTATAACTGGTTGGAATTAGGGCTGATTGAAAAATTTCCGTTGCAACTGCCTCTCAATTACCTGAAATTATTTCTGAAAATGGCCTGCTTTCCACAGAAATGTCACGTTTTAGTTGGGGGGAAAAATGAAAACTTTTTGGGTGAAAACTCAAAAACATGTTAGTTTCAGTTTATGATGAAAACTCAGAATTTTCCATGGAAGAAAAAACATTTTCTGATCAGCTCTAGGTAGCATGCACCTGAAGACAGGTGCCTAATTAGCCAATTAGCAAGGATCGGTTTCAACGCATTAGGCAGATTTATATACTTGGTTACCCTCGACAGCTTTGAAAATTTTAACCAGGGTTTTGAGATTTTAACCATATGATCCCCCCATTAACAAAGATCAATTACTGCAAGGTTTGTGGTCTTACATCTGCACGATAGTGAACATTTACCCCTCTCTGTTAATACTTCCTGCCCTTGGATCAGTATGATACCACAACGTGTGGTTCTTCATTAGAATGCAGGCTGACTTGGTGTGGCTTGTCTATTGCTTTGTCATGGGACCTCAGAGGGCTGGCGAGTTCAAAAGCCAACTTCAGCTTATCTTGAAGGGGAAAAAAAGAGAGCAGTGTGTCTCTAAGCAGACATCATGTGTACTGTAGCAGTGTGTTGTGGACATCATTTTTCAGAAAGTAGAGAAGGGAAACGAGGTGAGTCAGAGTTCAAAAGAGAGGTGAGAATGGCAATTTGTAAGAGCAGGAATGATGACTTCCTCCCAAATCATCCCTTTGCAGAGTTGTTCCTGCTCTGGTCTTGGAAAGGGCTGATTATTTCAAACCCTAAAGCTGTGCATACGCTGCACTTAGTAGTTTGACTCCGGCACCAAGGGATGAATGTGGTGTTGACTGCCCCATTTCTGGGGGAATAGTAGTCTGCATTGACTCTGGAACAACGGCTACGAAGAATACCCATCTTTCTCTATGTTTCTGCAGGTGCAATTTGAAGGGGAGTTGAGGGGCCTGGATGCGGGCGGAGTGACGTTAGAATTCTTCCTGTACGTATTTGAAGAGATGGTGAATCCACAATATGGGATGTTCGTGTATTGTGACCCTGCGTCCCCAATGTGGTTTCCTACCAGCGTAAGTCAGAATCTGCTCAAGCCATTCAGGGTCAAGAGACAAAGGAAGTAATTTGCATTTTGACTCTAAGCTTCCTTACCTTCTGCACAGTAGCTGAAGTTGGCAGGGGAGGGTCTTGGAAGGCTGTGGCAATTTTCCAGAGGAGAGGGTCTGTACCACCTGGGTGTTTTATATTGCGGAATTGGAGAGGGTTCAGAGAATGATTGGGTGCATGGGAAAACTCGTATGCAGAGAGATTGCAAAGACTGGGACTTAGTTGACCGTAGAAAGGAGTTGAATAGGAAGGGACATGATTAAAGCATGTAAATCAATGAATGCTCTGTACATGATTAATCGTGAGCTTTGTTGTCTTTGTCTCATAACACAAGAACAAGGGGATGTTCAACGAAACTGAAAAGTATTGAAGGAAATAATTTTCCATTCAGTGAGTAATTGGACTGTGGAGTTCTCTGTGGCCAAGAATTTAATGAGATTCAGAAAGGGACTGGACATTTATATGGATTACAAGTTTATTCAGAGTTATAATAGTACAAATAATAGTTTTAAAGGGATACAAATATCATGCCTCATGTTTTACGTCATTCTCTAGATATTAGGGATTAGGATGAGATCGTTATGAGAGGCAGATTCTACCTCCTGTGAGAGTTCTTGCTGCTTCTGACTAGCGGGACTTCTGATCCAGGTCTGGCAATTCCTGTATTCCTACAAGAAATATTTTCTAAGAAATAAAGTTAGAGAACGTTAACCACTCAGATTATATTCTCTGTCTAACCTCAGTAATTAGCCAGACCACAGCAGTGTGTGGATTACTGTTCTCTGTACTGAAACTTACCATTAGTAAACAAATTGTAACTGATCATCAGAGTGCATCTCTGAGAGTTCAGGTGAGCTGCAGTCAGATGGGGGACCAGTTCCATGGTTCTAGAATTCTGAATGACTGGTGTTCCTAGGCTAACTACAAGCATAGTCAAAAACAATTAAATTCCTACAATCAGTGGCAACTCTTCAAGTGGTCGTATGCTGCTTTTGTACACTTTATACCGCAGTGGCCCAATTAATTCTGTGTCCTTACTCCTTTGTGAAATTTAGTTTTAGTGCTCAGCAAAATCTATTTTTGTCAGGGAGGGGGAAGAAAAAAGGTAAATTCCTTCACCCCAATTTCCAAATAAATGTGAACAAAAAAGGGAAAGACTTAATGCACCAAATAAAGTCTAAAAGAGGGCTTTTCAAGATAATTTTGCTCAGTAATTGCCTTTAGTTTGCACTCTGTGAAGTGATAGTGTGACACACACCATCTTGGCCGATGCACCGGGGATTAAAAGCATGAATTGCTACAGCTTGAGTTAAAGAGCCAAGGTGTACTCGGTGGGCCTGTAACGGACTCTTATCCTTTGCAGATGAGGCACAGAGTGAGACCTCTAACACGTTCCCCGTTCCCCAGTGAGAGACACGAGGTCAATGAAATCCACTGATGGCAGATCTGTGGCTAATGCATGCCCCAAAGTTGCCAGATGCCCTCTCTTTCCCAGTAGCCTGATTCAGTCCTCCTTAAAGAGTCTCATTAACTTCAGAGGACCTTGGATTGGGCTTCAAAACAGGAGCAGACCTCTTATTCCAGGTGTCCCCGCTACTTAGGGCTCTGTCCTACTCCCATTTTTTTTCAATGGGAGTTTTGCCATTGACTTGAATGGAGCAGGGTTGGAGCCTTGGGGAGCATCAGAAGGTTCTGGTGGGGTTTCTTTAAACATAGTTTCAGCTCTTCTTAGATGACTGATAGGTTTTGTTGTTGCTGATTTTGCTTTTTCTTAATTACCATAACAAAAATGTTTTAAAAATGTGCAGTGGGAGTTAAATTTTGCATCGATTGACCTTGACATGATGCTCCTTTAACTAGTATAAAAAATTCTGTAATTAACGTTTTTAGGGCTCAAAAATGAACCAAAAGATTTACGTAAATTTTGTCTTTCCGATCTCGCCTTTCTGGCTTGTTTGTTTGTTTTTTGTTCCATCATGACCTACTACTTACTTGGTTCTCCAGTTATAATATTTCAACACTTGGGTTTTTTTCAGCCTTCAGTAGAGAAGAAAAAGTATTTCCTCTTTGGGATCCTGTGTGGGCTCTCCCTGTTCAACAGGATCATTGCCTTCATCCCTTTCCCACTCGCTATTTTTAAGAAACTTCTGGATAAGAAGCCTTCACTCGAAGATTTGAAAGAGCTGAGTCCTGTGGTAGGGAAGTAAGTGATTTCAGCTATTGGTTCCAGCTGGATCTCTAAAGGAGTTTGTGCATGTACCCACATGTATATGAATGGGCTGGATAGTTGGTTGACATTCACTATATTGTCTGTAGAGTGGAGGAAGAATAGTCTTGTGGTTCAGACACTGACCTGGGACTTGAGGCAGGGTTCCGTTTCCAGCTCTCCCACTGATTTCCTGTGTGTGACTTTGGGCAAGTCACTTTAATTCTCTGTCTCAGTTTCATATCTGTAAAATGGGATTACCATTTTCCTACCAAGGGGTTGTGAGGATAAATTGGCTAATAGGCGTGAGGTATTCAGGTACTGAGGTAAAGTGGGGGCTATATAAGAACATAGATAGGTGGAAGCATAAGAGTAGCAAATGTTCTATTATTTTTCTGTGCTTGAGTTCTGTGTCAGGGTCATGCAAGCTGCCTTTGTGAGGCTCGTGTTGGCAATAATTTGCCAGCAGCACTGTTGCTCTTAAAATAGACAGTATTGCAGTCTTGATCAAATTGAGTTTTATATGCAGTCTCGTAATCGCTTCTCTCTGGGCCCACGTTAAGAATGAGGGCTGCTATGACCCACTCTGTAGCATTCCACACTTCGGCCACCCTCGTACCAGGTTGTGTGTCTGGTTTTGCCTATTTTTGTAGTACCTTTCTGTTAGTTGTGATTTGATTTGGGGATTAAGGCCATGCATTATAACAGGAGGAGATGCATTGATGAGTACATCTGGATCCATTTTTTTTAGGGAATCAGTAGCACCTTGAGCCACACAAAGCCCTAACGGTGAAGATCTATCAGACAGCTGCACACCCCGCCCTATGTTACATCTTATCTGCTGTCTGTCTGGAACAGAAGGAGAGAAGCACAGGCAGCTGTGAAATACAACCTATTACATACATTGCGCTGTTGTGAGGATGTCAGCATAACTAAAAGAGCAAAGCCTGAATAGCTTGTGTTGACATCAAAGCCTAGAGATTCAGTGTTTGGGGGGGGGGAGGGCAAATTACAGTTACTAGTAATTGTGCTGGACAATAAAAACATACATACAAGTGCCGCTTGCATACGAAGCAACTTATGCTTTATAACACAGAACTCATTTTGACTTCTAAGAAGTTGAAATACCATATGTTTTATGGGACAACCAGACTTGAGATACAGGTTTTTCCTGGACAGATATTGAGAAAACAAAAAATTCCAAGCTTGACCTGCAGGAGGGAAGGGAGACAGAGATTGATGAGAAGAACAGAACTCTGTGGCATATGGTAGCAGAGATGCGGGAAGTGGGTGTAGATTTTCTACTGGTTTTTGAGCCCAAAACTTCTCATGGTGGCCTTTGTCCCTGACACGTATGAGGTTCTTCTACCCATGAGTGCAGAATTTACAATTTTTTGTTGCTTGCGACTGGAAATATGTTTAACTATAGTATTTACTGCTACGGTTAGCATAATTTAATCTACAAACAATCAATTTTTTAATTGTTGTATATTAAACATAATGGCTCATAGTTATTACAAATCAATAATAAATGGTTGAGATTTCACTACTCGTGGTGCAGGGTAATTTATCATGTGGTCTGTCATCTAACAATTTATAAGTATATTTTTCTCTCTTTTTTTTTCCTTTTAGGAGTTTGCAGGCAGTTCTAGATTATGAGTATGATGATATTGAAGAGAATCTTCAGATACATTATTGTGTGAGTACCTCTGGAAGCCATTATGATACATGTCCACTTCATTTGCTATGCACTACAGTAGTTACAATTGCTTTCACTTTTGAAATGTTGTTCTTTGCTTCACACGGAGAATTGGGCGCTCTTACACTGCTGATGTGGTATTTAGAAGCTTTTCATGTACTTACTTCAGTCGCTTATTCATTTTTCCCCCCCTACATGTTATCCAGTTTAGGAGACAACGACTGTTCCCTTTGGAAATTGAGAATAAGCCACTATGGGAATGCAAGTCTAGAGTGTCTTTTTATCAGCTCTTTGAGGCAGGGGCAATCTTTTTGTTCTGTTTGTACAGTACCTGGCACAATGGTGTCCTAGTTGGTGACTGGGGCTCCGACGTGCTACTGCAACACAAATTATTTTCCCAGCTTCCCAATCTTTGAAAATGAAAACCCCACTTTAAATAAGATACTTGTAGGAACTAACCGATTTTGTTTTAGTTATCATAGCCTCTTATTGGAGCGATGAGCCCTTTGGCTCTGAGGCTGGTCTCTTCCAATCACAGTGGGCCAGATCTTGACTTATTGTAAGCAAATGCAATTCCATGGACTTCACTAGTGTTGAATTTAGCCCATTCTATCCTGTCAATCAATGAGCAAAAGCTCCGCGTATGATAGGGGAGGCCTGGGCTTGAAGGGGAGATGGCAAAGGCAAAATAGAGGACAGAAATCTTCATGTTTTCTTTAATGCCTAGAAACACACCCATCTGAAAATGACATATAAGAGTTCTACCTGTGCACATTAGTGACACACCCATGTCTTTTAATAGTTACAGGAAGTCACTGAAATTGTGGTCACATTTGCACCAGGCACGCATTCTCTCTTGCCACTATAGTGCAGTTTTGAAGGTGATTGGATTAAAGGTTTCTGTAACACGCACAACACCAGTGGGAACTTTGCAGCCATATTGATTTCAAGTACCGTAGTAGGGAATTGTTTAATGGAGAGAAGGTTGCCTGGATTGTTGCCTCTTCTCACAAGAATGTTTTCATGGTTTCAGGTGTCGTGGGACAACAAGGAAGTAGACCTGATTCCAGATGGCAGTTCCATAGCTGTGAACAACAAAGACAAGTATCTTCATGCAGATTGGTTTATTTAATTCTAACTGGTGGGCCTTTTACAACCGGGCCTTTCACAACCAGGCCTCAGAGTCAGAGCAACTGTCCAGCTCTTTACAATAGTGTCCTTTTAAGTACTGCAGTTCTCAGTACCTCCATGCCAATGATAATGAGGCAAACCCTCCTAGCTGGGAGAGCAGGGATAAGGTGGAAGGTACAGGAAAAGATAAGCTTAACACTTACAAACACCCCTGTATAGAGACCTGAGCTAGCCTCTGTCCATCTCACCATCCTCTGCGTGGAAGGCTGGGAGTGATTACGTGTCTCCTTTGTTCAGTCCCAGACTCCTCTCCCTAGTGAGGTTATGTGAACCCCTGACTTGTCACCTGATGAGCTGATTTAAAACAACTCCTCCTTTGGCACGTGTCTGTGAGAGATGCACCAACATTTCCCCCAAATGCATGTGTGCAATTGCATGATACTGGGCCTCTCTCCCTAGAACCGGGCAGTCTAAAGGCACTTGTTGAGACTTTACCCACTTCAGACTCCCGATGAGGACACAATCGTTTTTGCCATTTTGTTACAAACTCAGGGCCAGATACTGTGAGTACTGAGTGAAGCTCTTACTGTCATGAGTAGTCACTGGGACTATCGTGATTTCAGTTCGCAGTAGTAAGCAATAAATCCAGCAATAAATGTTTGGAGGGTCAGATTCTAAAGTACTTCCTACCCCTGGGACACGACACATAAGAACGGGCCATACTGGATCAGACCAAAGTTCCAGCTAATCCAGTATCCTGTCTTCTGACAGTGGCCAATGGCAGGTGCCCCAGAGAGAATGAACAGAACAGGTAATCAAGTGATCCATCCCGTCGCCCAGTCCCAGCATCTGGCAGTCAGAGGCTTAGGGATGCCTAGAGGCTGGGGTTTCATCCCTGATCATATTGGCCAATAGCCATGGAAGGACCTATCCTGCATGAACTTACCTAGTTCTTTTTAGAACCTCAGTAGAAACTTTTCTCTTATAACCATCTTTTGAAACTATTATCTGAGCCATTAAATGAATGTCTCCCTCTTTCTTAGCGGCAAAGGCATGTCAGTCAGTTTAATTCTAACAAGGAGAAAAATACTTTTTAAAAAAAATTACAGGAAAAAATGGTGTGTCAAACTGTATCTGAATAAAAGCTATTCTTATTACTATTGTATTGCTGTGAGGTGAGGAGCAAGGTGACCAGGCAAATATATTTACTGTCCTATGTGTATGAAGAGAAGAATATTGTGTGTGAGCTAACCAATGTCTCTCTTTGGTTCTGTGAAGGAAGGACTTTGTCAACAAGTATGTGGATTACGTCTTCAACAAATCTGTGGAGGTGGTTTATGAGGAGTTCAAGAGGGGATTTTATAAAGTCCTGGACAGAAAGATACTTAGATTCTTCCAGCCTCAAGAACTGATGGAGGTGGCAATTGGAAACGCTAATTATGACTGGAACAAATTTGAAAAGGTATGAGGGAACAGAGGAAAGAATCTTCTCCAATATCATTCTGATTTATCCACTGAGTTTCACTTCTTTAGAGTAAACATTTTTCCTTTGTTCCATTTTGAAGAATGCAGTCTACTGGGGAATGTACACTCCATCACACCCCACCATCAAAATGTTCTGGAAGGTTTTCCATGAGCTTACAGTGGCACAGAAGAAGGGCTTTCTCTGTGAGTATCCTGTCCACCAACAGATTGGTTTATTTCTCTCAAAAATTCAACTAATGAAAAATCTTTCAAAATAGAGTAGTTACCATGAGCCACTCTTCCTTGAAGTAGAATTGACTCTTCTGGGGTTCTACACAGTCTGTCCCGACATGTACAGTGCCCAAAGATTCTGTGCAGTAAAAATGACTTCTGAATGAAATACTCCCATTGACATCAGTGGTGCTAAACATGCACATAAACGGCCTGATCCAAAGGCTGCTGAAGTCAATGAGACTATGCATATGTGCAATGTTTGCAGGATCAAGGCCTTAGACTGTAAGCATCTCAACTGCAGGGACTTTGTCTGTTTGCCTTTAAAGCGCTATTCATGCCTATGGGGCTATATAAATAATTTGAATATCATTCTGAAACTGTACCATTCTGAAAAGTATTATTGGAGATAAGTTTATATGAAATGTGCTATGGTAAATATTCCTCAAATGCCCATCACTTTATAAAAGGTAACTTGAAATACATACTTCTAACTCTTCTTCCAGCTGAAATCTATTTCTGTTCTGCTCTGTAGTGTTTCTCACAGGAAGTGACCGGATCCCTGTAATGGGAATGGACTGTATAAAGATAAAGTTCAACCAACATATGACTATGTCTGAAGATCACATCCCTGAAGCACAGACCTGCTATCACATCCTGATCCTCCCACAGTATTCTACAATAGAAAAACTCCGAGAGAAACTTCTTCTAGCGATCGATAACAATCGGGGGTTTGGCAAAAATTGAGTCACAAATATGCACAACATGCATCAGAAACAGAAATGCTCCCTAGTCTCTTGATCCTGGATTCCTTGCTCCAAAATTCCCATTGGAATCAGGCCAGTAGTACAGTCTCTTCCCGATACAGGAGAAAAACTTTGGAATAATTTAAACACCACTTACAAAAATGGGTTTGTTTGCTTTTGTGTTAAGTCTTCAGTGGCAGTTCCCAAACACCCTTGTTCAGGAGTGTCAGAATTATTTAGGGTCTCACTAACATGAAGAAACAGATTAAACCCAAATAATATCTATATAAGTTTAATGGTTTGACTAAGCCTCAGCAAAGCAGAAAAATGTAGAGCATAATCTAAAATAGGGTTTACAACAGAAACTGTGGCACACTCTAACACTAGTCCAAAACTGTAGTGCTATAGGATGAGAATTTAACTGCCATATATTGAAAGCTTCTAACCAACAAACTATATTAAATTACTGCTATATCACTTAAATCTCAAATTAAAAAAATACTCTGACCATTCAGTGTATACATTTTGTATTAGAAACTCCATAAAATATTGTCTTGAAGTATATGGGAAGAATAGAGAGTAGTTGTATATGTTACGATCAAATATTATTAACTCTGCATTGTATTCATAGAATATCAGGATTGGAAGGGACCTCAGGAGGTCATCTAGTCCAACCCCCTGCTCAAAGTATTAAAAGACAACTTCAAAGAAAAAGATAAAATATCAGTGTCCAAGGAATTATTTTCTTAGTTTTCAACCTAATACAAAATTATAGCCCATCTACTGCACCCAGCAGATCAAACAGCGAGTTCCAGTTTATAACCTTAACGTTAGTTGTTTGTCAAATTTCACTAGCTTCATGATAATTCTACCAGTTCTTAAAGCCATTTTGACCTTTTTTTTGGTAGCGTCTTGAGGTAAAATTCTCTGGCCTCATTTTGATGTTAGCAACTTGCAAACACTATTCAATATAATGTAGTAAGAGTGACATTGCATGTGAATAATTCTGACCTATTTGGTGGTTGGGTGAGCAGGGTGAAAAGAATGCTAATGAAGAAAATACATTTGATGGGATAAAGTTCTGTAATATTTTTGCAATAATGGTGTTTCTACTGTATTTAGATAAAAACAATGTAAACGTTTAGGTCCACATTATATCACTGATGTTTAAGTAGAACTCCCCATTGAAATCAATTAGATCTACTTAAAAAGCAATTGCATTACATGGCCTTTTTGTTCTTAGTATTTAGCAGCACAGAAGTCTGATTTCCTTGGTCTGACTGCTAGTTGCGTGTAGTTTGCTAATGAAAGTCGCATCAAATAAAATTGTAACCCGCTTTTATTTCCTTCATTCTTCACATTGGCTTTATTAGTAAGGAAGTCAATCATCTGGTCCTGTAGGCATTTCTCTAGCGAAAAAAGGGATTGAATGACCTGCCTCTATTGTATGCATGATGGACATCTGAGGAAGGGACCTGGGGAAAATAAAGGGATTAGTAATGGAAAAGAATATAAAGGAGAGTAGACGTAGTCACACTTCCTGCTTGGCCCAGACTCAGCAAGATATTTAAGCACCTGCCTGGCTTTAATTACATGAGTTACCCCCATTTATTTCCGCTCACATAGTTGCTTAGAAACGATGCAGGAGGCTTAGTAAAAAGTTTGCAGTTTGACAAGATCTTGAACTTCTAGAAATAATTAACAAAGTAATATTGCGGAGGCACAAATGGCAGTTTTCTATGGTGTATAATTAAGTGAAATAGATACATTTTCACAGAAAAAGGCACATCACCACCTCTGCTACATCTGTTAACTGCTCCCTACCCTGAGGACCAAGGACTGTTTAAAAGAAAAAGCAGGAAAACTCAATATTCACATATTGTTCATTGACCTCATTCCTGCAAGTGGATGAACTGTATTTGTTCAGACTTTCCAAAAAAGTTCAACCTGAGACAGGCACAAAGCATGGAAAATTTCTGCCCTAAAGATTAAAATTTATCTTCTGGAAACTGGGAGTTGTAACATTATACTGTTAAGCAAACCTTAACTATAGGCATTACTACTGTGCTGCTTGTAATCTTAGAAGTTTAATAGTCAACACAACATTCTCTTTGTTTGCAGAAGGGTGGCATTTTCTGATGGGGGAGAGACAACTGTTAAAAATTGCTCTTCACTGGACTGAGGCTGAGAATCAGTGGGAGAATGCACCCTTCATAAACTTCAACTCCAGGGCTGAGGTGGGGAGAAATGCAAATTCAGATGGATGAGAGAAACCTCTGCGTTACATCTCTCTCTCTCTCTCTCTCTCTCTCTCTCTCTCTCTCTCTCTCTCTCACACACACACACACACACACACACACACACACACACACACACACACACACACACACACACA